AATGACAGTTCATACCTTTAGGAAAGTGGAGATAATTAAGATCAATTCTCTTTTGGCGTACAGAGAGAGACCCTTGCACAGACGGATTTTGCAAAAGTGTCTTCAGTGCTCTCTAAATGTAGCAGAACAAGGCAAATTCAAATACAAGTTTTAGACAGGCAAATAAATATGGTGCGCACTGCACCACTTTTAGAACACACGTGAGACACATTAGCAAAATCTGTCTGGAGCAGCCTTTATGAATTCCAGGAAATAAGTTTATACTGGAGCAATTACAGAGATGGAATGGTCTTAAAGAGAAAAAGTAGCCAGAATAAGCGGTTCCCACTGCTGATTTTACATAAAGGGATAAGGCAGGGCTTTGGGAGGGAGGGATAGAAAGAAAATAAAGGTTGCTGCACTAAGTCTGACTCTTCCTCTGCCCCAGAGGAGGGCAAAGGTAAGGAATGGGGGTGAAGAAGAAAAGAAAAAGAAAGACGGAGGAGAAGAAGGGCAGGGAAGAAAGGGGGGTATTTTTCTCTTGTTCCTTACATTTCCCTATGTTCATAGAGTCAGTGGTTTGGGGCAAAAGTGGGTGGTGTGTAGAACTCAATCCAAGGTTCCCTTACTTTCCAGAATTTTGCTATGTTAATTGATTTGTCCAGCAGTTAGTTTCACAAAACTCATGACTTGCAAGACCCGATGCTTGACTTCTGCGGTGGGGACAGTCTAGGTTTTTCACGCACAATAGATTACCCTTTTTCCCTTTGTTAGACTAATTTTAAATGGGCATTGGTACACTTCCCGGGTTGTTTTACATTTAAACATAAGTGCTGCATAGAAAGTAGCGATTCAAACATGTATCTCGAAGAGTCTCCAGAAGACACTCAATCTAACTGTGAGGGCCTCACCTGATGGTGATAAAATGAGACCTGCCTGAGGGTACCAGACAAATACTGTAAACATATGGGGCCAGTTCTTGCTGCCATTTTAGAGGAAAGCATTACCTGATTTGATAGTGCCACACAGGCACAGACAATAAATAGTCTATTTACATAAGTAAAACATATTGTAACTGTAGTATTCAATAATTTTTCATTAAAACCCAATAGACGAAAATTAATGGGAATATGGTTAACACAAAGTTTTGTGACTGGTATGTTTAAATTAACTAAATTGTCTTCCAGAAGGGTTTGCTCTGGGCTTTCCATATTTTCTTCTTTTTTATCTTGTTTTAAATCATCTCCCTTTTTTGGAGCATGCTCTACTTCCTAATTTAACTGCTGTATGTTGTGTTTAAGAAAAAGCCAAACACATTTTGCACTATGTGATAACTTTTCCCTATTCAAGAAGAGATTTTAGTGCTTAGACATTGTCCTTGATATTGAATATATCTTCAGCAGCAGTGCAATATTGGGTTAGGAAAAGTATAGTAATGAGAAAATTTTAAAGGGTAAATTGAAAAATGTTTCTCAAACAAACAAAATTCTAAATTTAAATCAAGTTTTTGTTCAGGACAAAATCATATAGATTGTAATTAAGCCTATTTAATACATCTGGGATTTAATTAAAATAACAGGTCTGAATGAAAAGCATGGGGGAACTATTGTACTATACTATTGCTTACAATGGTCAGCACCCCCTTATAGCCGGAGGCCAAACTACTTCATTGGGGTCTCACATACAGAATGATAATGTCCTTTAGTAACTCCTGTCCTGACACTAGCTACAGAGACATTTTGAGGTCAAGAGTATTGGTCACTGATTTTTCCTCACTAGACTGTGCCCAGTCTGATGGCAAAGATTGGAGCCATCGCACTTAATTCACAAGGCCTTGCGCATGCAGTATATGGTTTCAAACCCAGTCCCTAGGGGAGGAGGGGTTCAATTTTGCAGTGGGCCCTAAGATAGGAATCCAGCTGCTTGATGGGGTGCATAAAACAACCATTACCTATAGAATCTCCATCACTGGCCACCACTACTCCATCTCTGGAATTGGCTGTTCCTCCTTCTTATCAACCCTCACTTAGTAACCCGAAGGGTTAACTAATATTTTACACTACATTCTCCAGATCTCCAATACACTGTAGAGCAGACCCTCTCTTCAAGTAAATGAGACAAGATGTTGCTCTTAAGCAGAACTTTCACTGAAGTACTGTAGCTTAGTTGGCATACAGTCTTAAACAGTTTGTATAGGAACACATTCAGTGCAACATTTTGAAAAAGAAATACATTTCCACTTTCTCTGTCATAAGTGCTGTACATCCTGTGGCTATGCTGTGCCATGGTGTACATAACTTTAAAATAGTAAAAACGTATTCTCATCATGTGTTTAAACTACAATCCATTGTCCCATACCAGGGTGCTGCTCTGGGGTAGCCCTAAACTTGGTATCACAACCATGTCTTACACGTATGGTCTAACTTACAATTTCCAGTCAGCTAGTAGACCATGAGACCCAACCTCCTCCTGCATATAACCCTTCAGAAAAGGAAATGATACAAGCATGGGGAAGTTACACTGCAGCACATAGTTAACCCTCAAAGAACCATGCTTAAAACCTTTGTGCAAAAAACTAGCAACATTTCGGAGTCTTCATATAAAAATATATTATAAAATATTTTTCAATTTCTGTATGAACATTTGAATGAAAATGTGTTTATGGCCGGTTAGGCTGAGGGCACTTTATCTGCTGTGGGAAAAAGAAGCCTTTTTTTCACTTTAGGACCATGGTCTTTTTGGGCATTTTTTGGCAAACATCTATTACAGCTACTTATTGGATCAGGCACACCACATTTTCAATATGAGAATCTCTCTCTGAAATTTACAAATGGGATATCTCTTCAATTTTTCATTTGTTACATTATTTGGTTATGGCTTATTTGAAGCTTTTGTCTGAGCTGATTTTGTTCTCCATGTGAAATTCTGTTGCTGGCTCACTCTTAGTTTTAATAAAACATATTCAGGATGTTTACTGGCACGAGAAGGACAGCTGTGAGGTATTTCTTGGACATTTGGAAAATTGCATGTTAATCATAGCTTGCATTATGATGCATTTTAGTTGATTTAATAAAATCAAATAGACTGTTCAATTTGCAAGGGAAATTGCATTTTGCAAGAGAATTCTCTTACAATGTGCACATCCGATTTACCTTTAGTAAATTAACTTAGTATTTCTAATCTTTAGAGGCTCTGCAATAACTGGCTTGTTACCAAAGGATTGGAGCATGGCTATCATGATACTTATAGTTAAAAAGAGGTCAAGATCATCACCCAGTAACTACAAGCCTGTATTTTTAACTTCTGTATTAGGAAAGGTAGCTCAATAAAAATAACACATACAAGAGTTTTGCCCAAAAACAATTTCATAAACAATAGCCAGCATGGATTTATGAAAGACTGAAATATTGTCTTTTTATGTGAAAGTAAGTAGAAACCAAAAGATAAAAGCACTTGCTTTTTATGTGGATGTAGACAAAAACAAAGAGGTGGTTGAGGATACAATATACATGCACTTTGCTAAGCCATTTGTCAGTTTTCCACAGACTGTTAAAGTGTTACTAAACCCACAACAGTAAAATCAGTCTGTATATGCAGTAAAGCATGCTTGTTATACTCACTGTGGAACCTAAGGGGTTAATCCTCTGCATTGTGTAAAAATGGCAGTTTGACCCTAACTTCTCTGATTCTCCCCTTCTTCCGGTGCCCCCTCTTATCTCCTGATAAGACATATTGTGTGGAGACACTCTGTACATGCTCAGTTCAGTGTGTATTGCTAGAGAGGTTTTTTCTTAGCAGAGTGCATGTGATCAGCACTGTCCAGACAGAGATCAGGGGTTCTTCTTCCTCCTAGAGCAGAAAGAAAACTCCTCCTACAAACTGTAATAATGCACTCTGCTGGACACTGATAGAAGTCACAAGACTGCTCCAACTGCTGATGACAAAAGGTATTTATCAGTTTATATTTTTTTACAATAATTGCATTCCCATGTAGTATGTACTGTGGGAGACCAGATATAGTGAATGCAGGGTCCTGGGTTTAGTATCACTTTATGCTAAGTAATGGTGCATAGGCTTAGATAATTTTGTCAGTAAATGAATTAAAAACATACACACAGAGTAGTGATTAATGATTTATACTTTAAATGTTCTAAGGTTGCTTTAAGCTCTAAAGTGGTGTACCCACTGGTTCATTGTTAAGCTGGCTACACGGTATACAATGTTCTTGTTCAAATTCCTTTAGATCTATCTTCAACTATGTAGTGCAAGGCCCTGCCTGATTGTATACAATTTGAAAGTGTTTAGCTTTAGAATCATACTTTTTACTTGTTTATACATTTGTTTGGAATAAAAAAAAACCCGACCCTGTATTTACAGATGACAGCTAGCTATATATTGGAATATTGCTGACTGTTTATTTGGACATCTACAGGGCAAATTAGGTTTAATGGACCTGAACTGATTTTATTCTCCCTTGAGAAGAGGCAATTAACCTCCCTAGCGGTCTGATTATGTCCATATTTCTGTGCTCAAAGCGGTACATTTTTTTGCATGGAAATGTGTATTATTTTTATTGCAGGCCTGTAATTTTTAGGAATAACTCACTGAAATCTGTCCGAACAAGAGTCTAGTAAACATCCCGGGTATGATAAAATTTGAAACACGAAATCATAAATTATAATTTAATAAATAATCATAAAAAAAATATTATGATAATAATAAATTTAATTCAATAATATAATCAAACCAAAAACACTGAAATTTGAAATATAGCGCCAAATTTGCACATCACTGAGCAAAGTCGCAAAATCGTTTTCAGTGTCTGATGATGAATTTCCCCACGAATCATTATCACTCAATTCTGCAAGTGGTTCTAATTTACTATCGCTGTTCTCTAGCTAGTCTAAAACCGCTTTTGACCTAAAGGGACGCTTTTTGGACACCATGGATGTTTCTCAGTTTCCAGGCAGAAAGAACAGTAAAAATGCAGGCAGGGCACAGGACAAAGCACTAGGGACAAAATGTATGTGAAATGGTTTGATACAGTAATGGTTTACTATGTTATTTTAGTGATTTTAGTGAATGTCACTTTTTGTCATTTTTTAATTTCCTGCTGTTCCGTCCCCCGTACGTCCCGACGCTCGCAGGGGACAGAACCCAGATGACAGATGCCGGCATCCGCCGGATTACATTGCTGGGGACACCACAGGAGGGACATCGCGGGAGCGCAGGACAAGGTAAGTGATCGAGGGATCGCGGAGTAACGCTGCATGGTAAGCCCGAGTGTAGCTCGGGGTTACCACTTGTGGTACTGAAACTTTACCCCAAGCTACACTCGGGAATACCGCCAAGGAGGTTAAGGGGGTGTTTGATGACCTTGTAAAAATATACAAATAGTCTACATACTGAACATCAGGGTGGATAAAAATCAATGATTTTTTAAAAAAAATTAAAAAAAATCAATTTTTTTTATTTAAAATCGGATTTTTTTTATTTAAATCGGATTTTTTTTATTTAAATCGGATTTTTTTGAATAAAATGCTTTTTGAGGAAATTATATTACCATCCAAAGGTTATTCCATCATGAAATAAAGATTAGTTTTTTTAATTATGTAGAATAAGGCTGTATATGTTTAATTTTTTTGGTAAATAAATTCCATTAATCCATTCACAATGTCATGCTCTTCCAGAGGTTTTTGTAAGATTATTGGGCAGTCTCTCTGCCTACAAGATATTATCACAGATGCTTGGTTTACTTTTGCAGTTCTCAAAACTGAATTTGACTCAGCGGAGATCGCATGCCTCTTCTTCACAGCAAAAATGTTATAACATGAACAGAGTTAAGAATAAGACCTCAATCCTAACTTCTACAAACCTATGAATACAGAATCAACCCCTTCAGTGCTAAGTTTCAAGAAGTTCAGTGAATAGAATAGAAACAATATTTTTCTGATTGTTTGGAGTGGAATAGATCTGAACAAGAAGAAAGTGAAACTAAGTGTGAGGAGGAAGGGGCTGACAGTCTAAATTTCTTAAAATATATATTTTTTGTTTAGCCAAATTAGTTAACAAACATGGATGTTTGTTTAAGCAAATCACATATGCTGTAATGTTATTGTTTCAGTTGAATAAATCTGTTTAAATTGTTATTATTAAGGTAATGATTATTTTTCTCCTTCCTAAGTACAACAGAAAAGTTGTCCAAATATGAATGATTAACCTATTAAACTGGGGATAAAAAAAACTAATATGAAAAGTTATTCTAAAAATCTTCATCTACTTGCATATTAAAGTTATACCAGCAAGAATTAGTCTATGTAGAAAACTAGGATTTAAATCAAGCCTTACTGACTAGTGATTTAAATCGTGATTTAAATCAGTTTGATTTAAATCAAATCCACCCTGCTGAACATGGTGCAAAATTGTTTACTTAAGGTCTTTACAAATGACAAGAAGTATGCATTGTGTCAGCGAAGTAATAGGCTTAACTTCTACATATGGAAATGCTTCTTCACAGTAAGAGCTATGAAAATGTGGAATAGACTTTTGGAAAAACCTAGCCCTAGACAACTTTGCATATTGCTTTTAGATTGCAGTATGTTTCTAAATGTCCAAACTATAATTGGCTATTAATATAGGAAGTAACTTATAACCTTGATGGATCAGGATTTTTTTTTCCCTGTTGGAGTAAATAGCACCATGTTTTAAAAGGAGTTTTGTCTTTCCTTGGAACAACTGTGGGTTATGGTTACGAGGATACAGGTAATTTATTTATTTTTGTTTTTTTTTTGTTGAATCCAGTTTTAGTTAAAGGCTCTTGTTTGGGTGTTGGCAGATTAGCATTACTGTCATATTTTATTGGCAGACTTTTTGGTGTCTAAGATAAACAGAAAATTGGCAACTCTCCTTCCTTTTCAAGGTGTTGGGCTAATACGACATCAAAAAGGACTTCATGGTGTGGGCAGGCAATAAAAGTTTTCCACAGAATTCCCAGAGCCAAATTTATTTACAATTTTCTTTTTTAATTCTTAGTAAGATTTTAAATATTAAATGATTTGGGGGTGGTAAGCAGACCAGGATACTAGACATTGCTGTTTTTGTAAGCCTTTGTGCTACCAAATTTAGGCCTTACAGATTGGTAAGCACATATGCACGAATAGGGCTGGTAGTGGGTGTCTATAGCATTCAGGGGAAGATACTGTTAAATACTGGATTTAGCATGTAGGGCCCTTTAAGGGATGACTCAGCTCCATGGTTTATGGGAGGTAGTATGGATGCTGCACACTGGTGATTTGACATATGAAGATTAAAGAAAATCAAACAACATTGGTGGTTTGGAGGCACTACCACTTTAAGGACTTGGTTCGATCACACATGGACTTTTTTTTGTATCTTCCTCCTCTGTAGACGGTGTTTAGCAGCAACGTGGGGTGTGTGTGTGTGTATATATATATATATATATATATATATATATATATATATATACTGTATTTACTGATCACAGGAGGTTACTATTTGTTTGTATTTTTGGTGTTCATCACATGTGTTATAGTATCACATTGTAAGGGTGATTGTGCAGATTATTAGATTTTCCGTACATAGATTGTTTATTAAAAGAAAAGGTATTAAAAGAAGTCAATGTTCAGCAACACTAGAAAATCTAACCCCATAAAGATTTGGATGATCTTCTCTTTTTCTTCACAGTACCATTGCATTCACAGCTTTTTTATACGGGGCCTCGGGTCACACTTGTGGCACACAACTGGACGGCACAGGCAATTTTATACATCTTCGAATACCCATGATACACATCTGAAACATCAGGCTTTATTATACCTGTGAAATGCATAGAGCTTTACTCTCTCCACTAACTTACATCAGCGATTACCAAAAAACATTTATGTACATAGAGGTGTAACAATATATACTTACACTCTCTGTGATGATATTTGTATTTATGCATTTTTAGCTGGTTAGTGGTAGATAGAGGATATTTGTAGAATTTGTGAAAATATGTGCTGAATGTAATGATATCTAATGTGATATTTTTCAACAATGTTTATCAAATATGACATTTCATATAATTATTTGTGTTGTGTATTGTAAAAGTCCGACATCTGGATGGTTTGCTCTGTAGATAATATTAGTTATAGCTTAGCCATTCCCCCTGCAGGACAAGGAGAATAGGGGTTAAAGGTGAATTTCAGCTTTTGAAAAAAAAAATTATAAATGCAAATTTTTGCAGGTAAAAAAATGTGCATTTATTATTTTTTTTCTAAGGAGCCTGCAGAGCATTGTACCCATGATCAACAGATCGAGGGTGCAATCTCAGGCTCCTGCAGACATACCTCGTACAAGCAGGCAGGTAGTTACTTGAGAGCAGGAAGACAAGTGAACTACCAGAGAGCTAACCAGCGGCCTCACAGTTCATTGAGCACTGCAAGCTGTCAGCCGCAATTGGCTGATAGTACTTGTAGTTTATCCATCCACATGAAACTGCTGTTGAATTGTGACAGCAGGTGTGGAGAGAAGATTCCCTGCCTTTTGTCACAGGGTGGAGGAGATCGGGAGAGAGGGTGCAGATGCTGGAACATGTTCCACCCTTAAAATGGGTTGAACACATAATATTTTCCAAAGTTGAACGTAGGACTTGTTAGATCTTAGTTTAAGAGTTAAGTTAGGTTAGTTTAGGGGTTACATTCCTTTAGCATTAGGCTCACTTTATGTGTAAGATTGAGAGCTCCTTTGTTCAAGAGAACCTCTCAGTAACTATACAACTCTGCTAAAAGGAGACCCAATGTCATAGCATATATTTTTTTTAATAGCATCAGCATTGTAATAGAAATAGGAATGATACTCTTGTGCCTCCTGAAATTCCTCCTCTTTAGCATCTCTGTAGTTTGGACAGCACACTCTGTGTGACATGGCAGTACATATTTACAGGTTGTAGTGAATTTGTGTCATTGCATTCAGGGAAGCAAATTGTGTGGGATTTTTCAAAAATAAGTTTGCAGACTTCAAGATCATTTAGATTAATAGATGTAGGCTAACATTAAATGAAATTCAATGTGAAAATTAATATATGATTTCAAATCTCAACCTTAGATACATTTAAAGAGTAATCACCAGAAGTTGAAAACCTTGTTTAGATCTGTACAGTGCAGGGGCAGACTGACAACTCATGGGGCCCCCCGGGCAATAGGGGATCATGGGGCCCCTGTGTCCTTGCCCAAACTCGAAAAAGCCTATGAAAAAGGTACCAGGGGCATCTCATGGGGCCCCCTACTGACCCCAGGCCCTCAGGCAGTGCTCGAGTTTCCAAATGGTCAATCTGCCCCTGGTACAGTGCTTTACAAATAACATAACATTGTTTTTCTGTTTTTACTGTGCTGTACCCCAGGCTGAAGCCCAATTTATGGGTGTTTCTTTGAGGGAGCTACAGCCAGCACTGAAGCGATGTCCACTCTGTGTTCTACAGCTTTGTCATCTAACCTTCCAGCCCCATGCCTCTTCTGCTCTACCCCTTTGCTATCTGCCATGTACTGAAAAGTCTATTTTATACTGAAAGGAAAGACTGTGCTCAGACCTAGCCGTCAACTATTCCGGGGAAAGAAACTAGAGTACTAGCTGTTGGTTTCTCTTGCTTAATGATGGCACACAGAAGACAAGTGCTGTCATTCACAAAAACGTAAGCTTGCAACGGCCCAAGCCAGCAACTGCTCTAGTCTCTCTCCCCAGAATAGCTGGTAACTGGTGGGTGGGCCTGGGCCCACAGTGCATGGGCTAAAAGCTTGTTTAGGTCTAGGGGACTTGTTAAAGTGAATTTACTTTCCTGATCCTTTGCTCCTCTGTCCATAGTGATGCATTGCACATGATAAAGCTGCGGGACAGTCCATAGCAGTCCAGAACATGGATGTGCTCCATCCACCGGGGGGAGTGAAGGATCAGGTAAACTGAAGTTCTTCTCCTCTCCCCTAGACTAAACTAGCATTCAACCCTTGCAATTCAGGCAGGCCCATTGCAAGGAATAATTTTCTAATTATCCTCAGTTTGGGCTTTAACCCTTTGAGAACCGTAAGATTTTGGAACGCCAAAAGAATCAATTTTTTTGTTTTTAAAGTTCGTACACTTCAGTTGCTGTAACTAAGCCATTTCATGAAATAATTGGCAAAAATCTAGATCCATTTGTTGTTTGTTGATAAGAACTAATATTTTGACTCAAACCAAAAAAAAAAAAAAAGAGTTTTAAGTTCTTAATCAGATGATACACGCAATTAAAAACATGGGACAAATACGTCCCTTGGTCCTCAAAGGCATGTAGAAAGACAGGACAAAGTACTAAATGTATGATGTACCCATTG